TGAACTATGAACTGAACTAGTTCATTTTAAAATGTGTGAACTGAACTTTGAACTAGTTCACGTAGAAAGAGAACTTTCCCTACACTGCCAGAGAGACACCTGCAAACCTTAACGCCCTGTGTTCAACTAACAGAAGTTGCCCAATAATTAAAGTCAAACATTTCTTTCTGGGTTTTATTCCACTTTACCGGCGCGAGGCACATATATTAGATAATGATTGAAACTACCCACCTATTTATACCTTGCGAGGCGATACGCTTCCTGCTTTAAGAATCCAGCGCTGTAGCCGTCAGTGTTTTCATTTTACTCCAAAATGACTCGGTGACAGACACAGACGCTCAGACATTCTCGCCTCGACCTGCTTATCTTTAAAGTTTGCATTTCAAGATCACAGATCAAGAACGTAGCCTGAAGGAAGCCTTTAACCTGCAGCAGTTGATCTGAGTTATTAGTCACGGAAGCAGCCGGCTAATGATCCAGCATTATTTTAATAATATACTGTTGTTACTGTGGTAACCCATTTAATTAGATGTGCTGATAGAAAGAGGCAGGGATATTCAGGGGGGATTATTCTAATGAAAATACGAACAGTGTTCATTAAAACCTGAGGTTGATCTTCTTAGCTGATTGACTATCTGCTCCATCCTGAAGAAAAGTGCAGAAACAGACACTTCTACATCTGCATATCTTCTAGGGAACAGGAGACAGACTTTTGGAACAGGAGCTGGCAGATGAGGGATTAGGGAGGATAGATGTAAATATAAAACTGCAGGGGATTAAATGGGAGCATTAGCTAAACCTGGTTTTACATATTTTTTTTCTAAACTTTGGGAGACTTCTGGGGATTTCCTAAAAGCTGAAGACATGAAAATCTGTAAAAGAAATTTAATCCTCTTCCCTGACAGATTCGTACAAACAAATGAAAGACTTTATTCTCATTATTCCACATCAGAAAAGGTGGACATTTTATACCAGTATTTCTCATATGCTGTGCTTTTGATGAAAGGTGCCCTAAGAAAATAGAAAAAAGAAAATAGGAAAAAAATTATTTGAAAAAAATAATAATTTGAAACGAAAAACCAAGAAACATTTTCGGTTACTCTTGGTCAGCAAGGAATAATCAATGGATCATTATCTACGTACGTAATACGTTCACAGTGATTTAATGAATTTAGTGTTAATCAGTAAAAAAATAAAAATAATAATTCTGTTGCCATCACTGAGTCTGGGAGCGGCCATTTTTGCCCAAATATAGTAACCCCTCCCTCCTGCCATCTTCCAGCAGTGACATCACAGTGCGGTTAGCATGGCTATCACTGCCCCTACATAGTTAGCATGGCTATCACTGCCCCTACATAGTTAGCATGGCTAGCGCTGCCCTACAGAGTTAGCATGGCTATCACTGCCCTTAAATAGTTAGCATGGCTATCACTGCCCATAAATAGTTAGCATGGCTATCACTGCCTCTAAACAGTTAGCATGGCTATCACTGCCCTTAAATAGTTAGCATGGATACCACTGCCCCTACATAGTTAGCATGGCTATCACTGCCCCTACATAGTTAGCATGGCTAGCACTGCCCCTGCATAGTTAGGGACTAATTTCCCACTGGGATCAGCTTCATAGTCATTGGTAGGACACTTCTTTTATTTCATTTCTTTTCCTCAGGCTACTTATAAGCCCACAGCCCGTCTAATGTTGAAAGGGTAATATAATGACTATTACTGTTGATATATAATATAAATTTTACACAATCAGTAATGAAATGTCGTTTAAGAAAGGGGGATGATTATTAAGATTTTTTTTTTAAGAAGGGGGATGCCACCTTCCTCCACTCGAGTACTGGCTATTTTTACTTTCAGCATTTCCCCTTTGCATATGTTAGCATCACTTAAGTGTATGCAGATGTTTTTGTATTTGCAGCGTGTTTGCACTTAGTTTGTGTGATTGTAGAAAGAATCAGGTAGGGAGGCTAATGGAGAGATAAAATTAGTTTTTTTCTTTCGTGTCACTTCTCTGTGTTTGCTGTACTTGCTGTATTTGCTGTTCATGTATGTATTTGCTGCACATTTGCACCTCTCCACCATATCCAGGGTCATGGGTATTACACCGTGAGTGTCTTTATGTAATAGGACATTGGAAAGGTTCATGGATCAAGTTGCAGGGAGGTTCAAGGAAGTAATATGCAATAAAGCAAGAGCTCACAAATCACTGTTTAATCCATCTAAAATGGAAAGAGGAGTATTGCAGAGGTAACGGTTCACAGAGACAGCTATCAGTCACTATCAATCGTGCACTTCATGATTCCGGCCTTCATTGGTAAGTGCAAAGATCAAAGCCACTGCTAAAAGAAAATCATCCCCAGCAGGAGGCGCAGCAAACATTTGAAAAATGTAAACCAGATTTGAATTTTGCTCAGTAGTTGAAGAAACTTTTTCTAAAAAACTGTGAAAGACATTATACTGAAGCCTTGTGGTGGTAATCAATTACTCAAACAATGTTTATAGCCATTTACAATCCTGCAGTCACCAAACTGCTTTAAATAAAATCAGCATGACAGAAAAAAGAGCAGAAGAAAGAAAAATAGCAAAAACAAAGCAAAAAATGCCACTAAAATCCAGTCTAAATAATTTGGCTTTAAGATTGACCTTAAAAACAACAAAGTCAGCATTTCCCAGTAGCTCTAAGGAATAGTGATGGGTTGATGAGGCGTCATGAAGCCTTCAGCGAATCGCCAAACTTTATTAATACTCTGATACTCAACACTGACACCTGCTGGGCCTTTAACATCCTTACATGCCGCTGGTTCGACAGACTAAACTGACATTGTTTATTACATAAAATAATTTAAGTCATTCCGTGTTATATTGTATTATTTTATATCTTTGTTTACATATTTTTTATATTTTTAGATGCAGTCAATAAATCACATGAACATATTTGATCATGTGAACATGTAGGTGAAGATGCAAATGAGGATGCTTGTGGACTAGGTTTTAAAAAAATCAAAACAATAAATACAGCAAGTACGGTAAACTAAAAGTAAATTTGAATTTTATTGGAATTCAGATAAGTGATAAGTGAGAGAAACAGGAGGACACAATGAGAAAATAAAAAAAATATGAGACCAAAATGGTCCCACATGGCGGAAACCTTTCTATTGCCTTTAAGCTGCTCCATATTTCTTGATGAATTAGATAATAAAGCACAAAAGATCTGAGATTTTTTTGGCAG